TGAAACGTTAACTCTGTTTTTCCCCTTCACAGATGCTGCCAGACCTGCTGAGCTTTTCCAGCAACTTCTGTTTTTATACATGGGAATACTTGTTAAAACAGACATATAGGCACATGATAGATGAGGCAGCATCTGTCATTGCATACATACACAAACAAGCAGCCAGTCACATTATACATGCATAAGAACATACTTAAGCAGATAAGAACTCTCATACTCATGGACACCAATACAGTCGAGCATACACAAACACCAGGCAGACATATATACAGTACTACAGACATGCAGAGACACAAACACACGCATTCACATACTTTTGGAGGCACACAAATGCATGCAGATACACAGAAGTTGCTGGAAAAGCTCAGCAGATCTGGCAGCATCTGTGAAGAAAAAGTCAGAGTTTACGTTTTGGCTCCGGTGACCCTCAGAAGTGAATGTGCACAAACGTTCTGAGAAGGGTCACCGGACCCAAAACGTTAACTCTGACTTTATTCTTCACAGATGCTGCCAGGTCTGCTGAGGTTTTCCAGCAACTTCTGTTTTTGTTCCTCATTTACAGTATCCGCAGTTCTTTCAGTTTTTATGTAGATATACATATGTAGAGAAATCTAGAAATAGGCTGTTTTGCCTGGGCCATCATTCAATTACATAATTTGCACAGATGTGTGTATATATAAATGAGTACAGTCACATGCAAGCATATGCAGACATACGTGAACACATTTATAACCACATACAAACCGATTATTTATCTTATTACATAACTCCGATTAATTGCACGATATTGTGAAACCTAGGAAGGCAGGCATTTTCTCTTGTCAAATGGGCCACATTATATTAATAGTGCAAGAGAAAACAACGATCCTCCACTTGAAACAAATTTTAGTAAATCACACACGACATCGTGTAAACTTTCAGGAGATTATTTTAGTACTCAGACCTTCCTAGGCCTAAAACTGATGTAGACTTCAAGAAGAAAGTGAGGACGAAACCGAGGCCAAGGCCATAGCGCTCAGGCTGGGATGTTTCCTTACACTGTTGCTGCTGCTGCTGCTTTAAAATGTGTGTTTTTACCTTGATGAACGGCTACATTACAACCGTGTCCGTCACAGTAAACGAGGGGGTTTTCAGCCCAGCCTCTCTCGTCTGAGCAAACGCAACAGCCGCCAATCATCTCCTTCATATTTGAAAAGTCAGCCGGAAGTCCACTTGAAACCATCTACGAGATGAGAAAAGAGAAAAAAAAAGACAGAGGAAGGAAGAACAGAAGAGGGACGGTAGCAGTGGTGGCAAGAGGCTGGGGGTTGGGGGAATGCAGACCCTTGTTTTTAAATTCACGTCCCACATTGCTGTACAGCCATGGTGACGCGAAAGTTGGAGGGGGAGGGGAGAAGGGGAACACTCGCTCCCAACCGCCTGAGTTGAAGCTTGACCGACAACTCGAGCAGGCGCACTGACGACACACGCGGGGGGCAAGTCAGATTCAAACGTGTGTGTGTGTGTATGTGCGTGTGTGGGAAGTTGTCGGGGGAGGCATGGGCATGCGCGTGAACGTTCACGCACAACCGACACTGTTAACGGAAAATGCGCGAGCTTGCAGCCACTGCACGAGGGAGATTGTTTCGTGCGGGTAGCAGCGGTTGGTGCTTTGGGGGGGGTTACATGATTGACAGCTCATCGACCAATGGGCTGCTTCCTTTTCGAACCGACGTTCTATCGACCATTCCGGGATAACTCGGGTCTACCTTTCTTCCAGAGGGTATAAACGGGGGGAGGAGAGGAAAATGATGGGGATTTCAGCTTCCGGTTGTGCTGTTGCCTTTTTAAAAAAAACCTTTCCTCCACCTCCTTCTCGTGCTTGCATTGATGGTCTAAATGGGCATTGTGGGTATAGAAGTGAGCCAAAGCCGGAACGAGCGGAGGTTAAAGGTGACTCGCTCAACCCATCTTCCCCACGTGAATCAGACTAAGTAGTTGCAGATCCCAACGTTTAAGTTGCACAGCGCAGCAAGGGTGGGGGTGTTATCTGGACAGTTACAAGTAGTTTAATTTACTTTTTGTTTTTTTCCTATGCATACCTGTATAAAGGATCTGCTACAGCTTTTGAACTTTAAATATCCCCGGGAATACAGCACAAAGAATTTTTTAAAAACTCACTCATTTTGAAGTAATCACCCTATTCACGGTAGGTTCGTTAAATGTGCAGAAAGCGTGCTGCAAGCTAGAGTTACAATATAGTCTTATTTAACAGGTTTAAAAGGAGAGCCAAAATACAAAACTATCAAGTTAATGTGATTTCTTTTTTTCAAAATTTTGATTTTGCTTTGGATTCAAAATGCCTGAAGTACAGGGTCGAGAATGATAAACTGGAAAGAAGAGCTAACACTGGAATTCCTCAGTGCCTTGCGTCCTAGGGACTAGTGATCGCAAACATGTTGTTACAAAATATATTGACTGAAAATTCCATCTTTATCCCGGTACTTCTCCGGTAATCTTTGCATTAAACTACAAGTCTAGTCAACTACTTTGCATTAATCCTGCTTACATGTCACTATGATTAAAATATTGAGGTTTGCATTACAAGTAATTTTGCAAATTTCTTCTTTAAGCTGATGTATCTAAAGGCAGCAAAACATACACACTAGGATTTGCAAACCTGGTAATGCTTTGTGTACGTTTTGTTTGTCGCCATAAAGTCTTTACTGGGACTATTACTTATATATGCATACTTTTTAAAAAGAGATTAAAAGGGAATACCGCATTGCTTTAAAGCGGTGATTTCACGAAAACCAACCTATATCTGTGGGAAAAAAAACCTCTAGGTCGTGCTTTGTCCGGCGCTTAGACATGCTGTGCTTTTCATGTTATTTTGATTGAAAGCATCGAAAATGAAGTTTATCTTTAATCTAGACATTTGCTGTATAAAACATCTTACGCCAATTTGGATTGGAAATGTACAACTGATTTTCGAGAACGAGAATGAATTCCCTTTGTTTTTGCCTTGCTGCCTTCGAACCTAACAACGGCATGTTTGGAAATGGCTTACCTTCTGCGCTTTAAAATCGACAAAAGTGATTCCGTGCATATTAGATCTCAGAAGCTCTTCAGCGACAGCTATAAATACAGCAACCTGTGTTTAATACACCATATATTTTCCTAATCTTTTTGTTTCTTTAAGGACTGCCTTGCCGAGCACGTTGTTGCAGTAAGTAGACCCCCGCCTTCTGAATCGGTTACGTTACGACCCTCTAGTCCATCCTAATTCTGCTGCTGCCGGTCGAATTCAGTGTCGACTTCCAAAGGAAGTGGCCTGCAACTCCAATAAAAGCCCAGAAAATAAATTATTTTCCACCAAATTTACTTTTGCGTATGTAGCTTTGAGCAACGCAGTTGTGTTAATTTGATTTAAGTCAACGCGTTTTAAGCATGAGTAATGAAAACGAAATCGCCAAGGGTCTGCCCTCAAGTCTCAATAATACTGTTGACAAAATGTTGTCCTAGTTTTGAAAGAAATCGTGTTGTTTTTGTTTTTTAGAAAGCACTTTCATCAGACTGCACTCAAAAATCTGGGCAAAGTTTTAAATCTTTGTAGAATTGTAAATTCAACCCGGAATAATACTTCCGAGTAAATACTCTCTGAAACTACGGAAATGATTTGCTCTGCTTTCTCACAATTTACTCAAACTGGAAATAATTTCATACTTTCATTACAAATCTGCATCTACACAAGCACATGACAGGTTTAGAAATAATGTTGAAATTTGTTTTAGTCATAGTCAACATCTTTGTTTCTGTAGTTGTTAATCGCTAGTTATTGCACAACCACAAGGTAATTGCACTCCAAATTGCGTCTTTTAAAAATGCAATTACGCTTGAATTTTATAAACTGATTAGGATTTTCAACGATACTTGTCATCACAAGTTAGGCGTTTACATTATTGCAAATAGAAATATAATTTCAATCATTGTTTTCTTAGGTTAGCACAGCAAAATTGCATAAGGCAGTGTCTTGTAGGTAGTTTTAAAAAACATACACGGTCACATCGCATTGTTACTTAACAGCTACTTCAATCCATTAAAGTACTTGTGTTCCCTAACTTTAATGGTGAATGCAGGTTTTTAAAGAAATAGTTCAGGTTTTAAATAGCCAACACAGAACATGTTGAATCCTTGCCAAATTATTGTACTATTTATGACATTGCCCACTTCTTACCAAGTGACTAGAGTTATTTCTTATGTAATTTAACTGATTTATACTACATTCAAATTTGAGTCAAGCTAAAACAATGATCTGGTTTTATCTTCATCGTGATCACTTGGTTTACTAGAAAACTCTAAATTCCTACTTTATTTCTCTTGATGCCTATTACTTGAATATTGATACTTGCAAGGGAGAAATATAGTCCCTCTTTAGCTGCTTTTCTTGCTTAACTATTATCAGTAAGAAAGGGCGTCCTTTCTTTTTAGCAGAATGCACACTCTTATGGTCTGTCGAGAACAAAGCCTCCCCAGCCCCCCTTTGCATGTTCAATGCTTTGCAAATTTAGAAAGGCTGCATTGAGTTCGGGATAGGTCAGGGGGCAGGAGAGGGGTAGAAAGGTCAACACATTTTGATTATGGGTCAGTAGACAATTGGCATACAGTCTATATGCAAGTAAAATAGAATAAATTCCTGTTGGAAACCCATCCTGGACCATTCAAGTCACAGTTGCCATTTAGTTTTCAACAGACTAAAAATTATTTTTTGGCAGGCTTTCACCAATAAAGCGGTAATAAAAATTTGTTAAATTCCTGATAAATTCACAGAAAATAAAAACAATGTGTAAATTTTCGGGGCAACTGATTCATTTATAAAATATCACTTTCACAGTGTTTATATGTTATCACAGAGTGACACAGCGTCACACACAGTAAGACAAGTCGTTTTTGTAACAATATGCCATTCTGGCAAAGCCTCTTACAATACTTTTTAAGTAAACAGGATTGGTGAAAATTTAGATGTATTTTGGAAAATTGTACAATGTTAACCTGCATCCTGATGCCGTACAGTTTGAATAGATCTCATGTACTAACCCTCTATTGTTCCCTGTATTCTATACAATATGAAAATATACCTTACTATTAATTGTGGATTAATAGATTGTTCTGATTTGATTATTGGTTGAGACTTTTTGCCTAGAGATATAAAAGTCTCCTTAATTCGATAAAGTGTGTCATCAAAATGTCTACTTTTCCATCTTATCAATATATGTTATAACTTGTGACTGTCTAATCTTTTAAACTGTTTTGTATGCTAAATATCATACTTTCTAAAGTACAACTTTCAATGATACAGCTGATTGCATGGTTGTAACATGCTTGTTTTGATATTTCTTTTGACTAAGGAGGAAAGCAATAAGTCATTCTGTAAGTGTGTGAGTTGTGTCTCTTTTTGCTAGCAGAAAGTAAATAAAAGATTGGGGCCTCTGATGAAAAAAAAAGTTAACCATTGGACAATGCGTCGTTAAACAGGCTACTATACATTTATTTATTTAGGAGTAAAATTGATAAATAGGATTTGTTGACAAGTCAGATCCAAGCTGTTGATAGACTATTTCATCCAAACACAGATGAGAGTTGCGGTTTAAAGTAAGCTCATGACACTCTACTGTTCTTAGTAGTTTAGAAATAGATCTATTTAATTAGAGCAACAGTATTTATTGAATATTTAAAACACTTCCAAATTACATTTTGTGAGTGAAAATCTCATTTGATTATTGCTGCTGGAGAATTCATCTCGTTTGACAGTTTTATTTATGTAACTGTTTTTTGTTTCTTTTGTCCCGATGTACAGAAAAAAATGTAGTAAGAGTGGGTTTGTGTTTGCAGAACATCTAAATATGGTAAATTAATGCCTCAAAATTATCCAATGTTGCTACTCCCAATTATATTTATTCGCACTGTAAGTTTAATGTATCAAACGACGAATCCTATGTTTCTTCGGGAATCACCTACTATTGTAATTAGAACAATCATTGTTGTTCTATGAAGGATGCTGCTGTCGCTGGGATCAAATCATTTACAATGGTCTTATATTTGATTAAAATGACAGGCAGCCACCTTGCTGTGTTCTCGCTGTTATCAATTCAGGCATCTAGACGTTGGATAAAAATACATAAAACCGCCGTGTGTGGTAGTATAAATACATTGGTGTGTTTCCCTTATACTGTAATCAAGGATTTTTACTCCTGTTCTTCTATGATGTATGTTGGTGGCTAGTGACAAAAAACAGCTCGCCACTTAAATGCATCCGGAGGCAACCTGCCTTTCGTGTGTTTATAGAAGGGCCTCGAAAAGCTTATCTTCAGATTCAACCCCTTGTCCTAAACAGCCTGGGATATACGACGTTCAGTGATGTGCAAGAGCGACCTGTCATTTTCTGTCAAATATTGAATGTGGAAAAAAAACTGATGACAGAA